CAGAAGGCTCCCAGTCGGGTAGAGGAAAACTCCCCGCCTCTGTCAGAGTGCAGGAAAGTCCGAGCCGAAACTCTTTCTGAGCTGGAGACGAGCTGCGCGGATCCAGTCGATCAACACATCAGTGACGTCACCCATGTTGCGCAAGGGGAAGACTGTGGTGTAACGCGAGTAGTCGTCAACCACCAACTGGAAATAATGCTCGTGCCCCTGGCCACGGACGCGGGCGGGGCCCCACACGTCCATGTGAAGAGTCTGCAGCAGAGCCTCTGTCGGAGGACACTCGGAGGAGTGAGGGGCGGCGCGCTGTCGCCCCTCGACGCAGGGGACGCAGGTAGGGGCAAGCCCCGGAGGTGGGGGAGGGAGAGACCGGGGGAGACCAGAGACAAGGACACGGGAGGCCATGCCTCGAAGACGAGGCAGGGAGGGGTGACCAAGGCGGTGGTGCCAAAGGAGAGTCTGGTGGGACAGGAGACGATACGAGCAGGGAGCAGACTCAAGACCAGACCTGGACGCTGCAGCAAACACTTGACTTGACGCAGCTACCTGACCAGACTAAGCGGCCGGAGGAGACTCAGTAGTAAGTTTATACAGGCTTGACCCCGGCTGACGGGTGAACGTGGCCAAGTGTCAGCCTGTACGAGCACACGTGCAGTGGGTCACCGGCTGACTCGCAGGAGTGAACTGGTCAACCCCCCTATCCTGTAGATCAGCTCCACTCACCAAGTTCGTAGAGAAAGAGGGGAGGTAGAGACCTGACTGTGTGGCAGAGGGGGCTGCCGGGGCACGGTAAGACAGTGGAGAAGCGAGCAAGGTCAGGACCCCCAGAGGGGTCCGCCACGGAGACTGCAACCGGCCGACTAAACGACGTAAGCGTGGTGCGGTCACGAAAGAAGGAGGGGGAAGCACCCGAGTCAAGGGTGAAGGTGTGTAAGGCCTGAGCCGACGTGGTACCTGAGAGAGCAGACTCACCAGCACCTGGGGCAGCAGACGCACTAGCACCTGGGGCACCAGATGCACTAGCACCTAGAGCAGCAGCCTCACCATTACCTAGAGCAGCAGCCTCAATGCGCGGGTCAGGCGGAACACACAGGTAACAGTCACCCTCAACACTAACAGACACAGCATACATGGCAGCAAGAATAGCATCATAGTCAAGATCAAAGATGGCAGCTCGCGCCCTAAACAGATCTCCCCAGCGAGGGATCTCTGACGCCTCAGAGAACTGGTGACGCCACGCGTCCGTCAGGCGGCCGAAGCAGCGCTGGGTGGAGTGCGGGCCCCCGGACTGCTCACCAGCGCGGTCGCCGGTACGGAGAACGTAAGTGCAGGGACCTGTACCCCCACCGCGCTGACGCGCAGCGTACCACTCACGAAGCTGCTGAGGGGACAGGGTCTCACGACTGCGCTGCTGGTGCTGGCGCGGACCACCACCGGACCCTGTCCTCTATGCAGAGTCGCGACCAGCTCCACCGCGGCCGCCGCCTCCGCCACCTCCGCTACCTCCGCCACCACCGCCGCCTCCTCCGCCTCCACTGCTGCCACCGCCATCGCCACCCCTGCCACCACTCCCACCACCAACCCCACCCCCTCCACTGCCTCCACCACCACCTCCACCGCCCCCGCTAGCCCCTCCAGCTCCCTTGCCCCCCTTGCCCTTGCCGGTGCGGCGTCTCCCACTAGGGGCAGACGCAGCGCCGACCCCGTAGAAACCAACGAGGTCGGCAGTAGCAGCAGAAGCAATAGAGGGCAAGAGGGGGGAGGGGGAACACCCCTCAAAGACGGGGGTGCGAGGGTCACCACGAGAGGCTCCTACAGCTACTATGCTCTTCTCTGCTGCTAGGAGGCGCTCCTCGAGCAGGTCAACGGTGAGTGTGGTGGGGCAAACTGAGAGGAAGTGGTCCCTGACTAAGCGAAGAGAGTCAGGGAGCCAGGTGACTATGTAGTAGAGGGTGATGTACATGGGGGGGGGGGGGGGGGTTCTTGGCGCAGAACTCAGCAGAAAGCGCAGCGCGGTAGCGAGTGTCACTAGTGCGAAGGTGCGTTATGAGGTCAGCGACTGTGGGAAAGGCAACAAGGTCAGGGAAGAGGTACGGTAGCATGAGGCACCTCAGTGCAGCAGTGGCAGGGGAAGAGCACTCTTGTACTGGCTAAAGTGTGCACGCTCAGTGGTCGGTAAGTGGCGACGCCCACTGTGAGCGAATAGTGCTGTCAGCACTAGCAGGCGGGGCAAGGGAGGCACCAGGGGTGAGGTCGAACAGAGAGAGGTCGTCTGCCCTATCGCACTGGAGGAACAGCTGGAGGTCATTGACCCTGACCTCAAAGTCAACAGCACAACCCTCAGTATCAAAGGTAAGAACACTGGGGATAGCCATGACTGCAGAGGTCTAGCAAGGAGTGAGCGCACCAATCCGAGTAAGTAGGGCCGGGGCGCGCCGGTAGGACTAGTAGAGGCTCGACGGTAGGGCGGCTCGGCGGCTCAGCGGCTCGGCTGCTGGGCGGCTCGGCTGCTGGGCGGCTCGGCTGTCGGGCGGCTCGGCTGTCGGCTGCTGGGCGGCTTGGCTGTCGGGCGGCTAGGCGGCTCGGCTGGTGGGCGGCTCGGCGGCTCTACTGCTGGGCGGCTCGGCGGCTCTGCTACTGGGCTTCTCGGTAGAGGCGGCGTAGGGGCCCCTAAGGGCAGCGTTGGGGCCGCGTAGGGAGGGGAGCGGCGACGGGGCCATGTAGTGGCGGCGACGGTTCCGCGTAGGGGGGAGGCGGCGACGGGGCCGCTAGGGGCGGCAACAGGGCTGCGTAGAGGCGACGTCGGGGCCGCTTAGGGGCGCCGACGGGGCCGCTTAGGAGCGGCAGCGGGGTCGCTTAGGGGCGGCGACGGGGCCGCGTAGGGTGAGAAGCGGCGACGGGGCCGCTAGGGGCGGCGACGAGGCCGCGTAGGGGCGGCGACGGGGCCGCGTAGGGGCGGCGACGAGGCCGCTAGGGGCCACTACGGGCCTAGAAAGGGCGGCGAAAAAGGCGCTCCTCAGGCAGGAGCGACTGGCGCTCCGGTCAGAAAGAAAGATTTTAGTGGTGGGCCCAAGGTAGCGTTCCCACTAGGGAACCTGCTCTGTACCATGTGAAGAATGAGGAATAAATGAACTAGCACAAGGTTGGGTACAAGTAGTAAACCCTAGGAAACTGTACCCCATAGTGTCTACCCCACTATAGCCTAGACAAGCTATATGATATAAGTTTGACACTGCGACCATTGTTGGCGTAGGCTTGTGCTACATTGCTGCCCTGATCTTAAGTCTACGATGCGTCGATGAATTGGTTACAAGTAGGAAAACCTAGAAGTGTTGTACCCTATATTGTCTACCCACTATAGCCTGCATAAACAATAGCATAAGAGTTTGATAGGGGCTTCCCAGTTGCCACGACCGAACTCTTCTTCCCTTCCAAGCTCCCCTTCCAAGCTCCCCTTCCAAGCTCCCCTTCCAAGCTCCTCTTCCAAACCCATTTAAGGACAACGTTTGGCGAAGGGTATTCTCATTTGAAAATGCCCAAACGCGTGTCAGTAGATATGCACTGTAGGATGCCCGATTGATCCTAAAGAGGGTTACAGGCGCGTTCGCCTGGGGGGTTATGGGCGCACTGACCCGCTACTGAAACAAGCTATTTTATCCTTATGGTCTAGTGGTTGGGATTCTGACATGGTATCAGAGCGGTCTCGGGTTCGATTCCCGGTGTATGCACATGTAGGTCGTTGCCGCTGTGCTTAGTCCTGGGCCTCCCAGTGTGGGGGAGTGTCAGTAGATATGCACTGTGGATGCCCGATTGATCCTGGCGAGGGTTACAGGCGCGTTCGCCTGTGGGGTTATGGGCGTACTGACCCGCTACTAAAACAAGCCCTTTTATCCCAATGGTCTAGTGGTTGGGATTCTGACAACGCGACCACCCAAAAGTGAGCAAGAATCGAGTCTACGCACAAACTTGACGGTACACGATGAACCAAACGTGTGTGATTTAGGGCACGTACGAGGAGTTAGCTAAGTGCGCGAGAATAATTTCCATAAATGATGTGCATCGTTGAAGCGCCGCACTGACAAGAAGACGATACTCGGTAACCTTCCCAGGCTACGTGCAGCTCGGTTCCCTATAAGCTCGAACATGCAAACTCGAACTTGGGTGTGTGATTGTGCTTCAGCCATGTGCGGGAAAAAAAATCACACTCGCCCTACGAGATCCGCCCGCATGGAATAATCAGTTCAAGGCGAGTACACCGAAACTACGATAATTCCACACCTCGTACGCTTCCCTAGCCAGACACCCTAAATAGTTTTTGGTTCCAAGACACGGGCACCCTGAAAATATGGGTCTATAATTAAATTACCGGAACGTCCAGCCTTACGAAACTTACGCTTTACGGTCAGTTTGAGAGGGGAAATCTCCACATCATACTTGTACTTCGGGAAATCTCGCCACGGGATTGCGTGAGTGTAACCTATATTATTCAAATAATGTTGTGAATCACTCTCAAAATCAGACTAGATGAGGGTGTTTACCCCGGAGCGTGAAGATAAGGGGCGTGGAAATATCGCAGTTTCGGTGTACTTTCCACCATGGTCACTCATAATATATTACTTAAACCTGAAAGGTTGATAGCAGTAAAAGTTTCATGATTGGAGACGCGGGGTATCGATCCCCGTACCTATCGCATGCAAAGCGATCGCTCTACCATGTGAGCTACACCCCCATACTCTCGTTATTCGAATTGTTAAATGCAAAAACTATTTTTAGTTTTCTTTCCCAGCTGTTTGTCTCATGACACTGATAGCGATAGGATCGAGGACCTGCTGATGATCATGGCACGCGCACACGCACGCCATGCTCCATCTAGTCGCCTGCCACTTTCGCTCGCGGCATTCGTCGTGGCGACGATGCTTTGCGACTGGCCGTGCGATTTGTCCAGCAAGACTGCATCGACGGTCGTGAGCGCTCTGGAAGGGGCGGCGGGAATGGAGCACGCCATGTCGTTGTATAGGGTGAGACAACAGCGGGAGTGCTCGCAGGCAGCAGCCACTGTTTTCCCATCCAGCAGCGACCCTCGGTACCGCTGTGAACCGCACTGGCTTGCTTCGTCCGCCACAGCCTTCCACGAACTGGAAGCGCCCTGCCCACCATCTCCACCGTTCATGGCCCGCCCACCGTCGCCCTCTCGCCTTCTGCCGCCGCCCCTCAACCCCGCTCCTGCAATTCTTCCTCTCGCCGCCTTAACATGTCCTTCAGTTCCCCCTCTCTATCCTTGCTCGCTCTCCCTCCCCCTTCCCTTCCCCTCTCCCTCCCCATTCGCCTCCCCCATCCCCCCCCTCTCTCCCTTCACTCAAACACACCCGCAGGCGTGGGCGGACGCCTACGGGCTCTCCGCCGACTCGCTGCTTCCGCCCTCGCCCCTCTCCCTTCCGCCCTCCCTCCCCCCCGCCCCTCATCTCGAGGACTGCGCCGCGCTCACAGCGCTGCGCCAGCAGGCGGAGCAGCGGGGGGAAGGGGGGGAGCCGCCAGCTTGGGCGGACCCCCTGCGGAGCAGCGAGGGCGACTGCTGTGACACGAGGGCCACATGGCACGCGGTACAATCTCCCTCAGACCCCCTCTCCTCCTCCTCCTCCTCCTCCTCCTCCTCCTCCTCCTCCTCCTCCTCCTCCTCCTCCTCCTCCTCCTCCTCCTCCCCTCCTCCTCCTCCTCCTCCTCCTCCTCCTCCTCCTCCTCCTCCTCCTCCTCCTCCTCCTCCTCCTCCTCCTCCTCCTCCTCCTCCTCCTCCTCCTCCTCCTCCTCCTCCTCCTCCTCCTCCTCCTCCTCCTCCTCCTCCTCCTCCTCCTCCTCCTCCTCCTCCTCCTCCTCCTCCTTCTCCTCCTCCTCCTCCTCCTCCTCCTCTCCCTCGTGCAACTGCCCTCCACAGCCACCGTGGGTGAGCAAGTGAGTGAGGGAGTGACGAGGACGAGGGGGGCATGTATGTTCGAAGCAGGTAGGCCTATGGGTGAGTGTGCGGGGATAAGGGTGAGAAGTCAAGTGAGGGAAGGGAGTGACGGTGAGGAAAGGGAAGGGAGGGCGGTGAGGAAAGGGAAGGGAGGGCGGTGAGGAAAGGGAAGGGAGGGCGGTGAGGAAAGGGAAGGGAGGGCGGTGAGGAAAGGGAAGGGAGGGCGGTGAGGAAAGGGAAGGGAGGGCGGTGAGGAAAGGGAAGGGAGGGCGGTGAGCTCATGCAGCAGCCTCGCTCCACTCCACTGCCGGCTCTCCGCCCCTCCTTCTTTCCACCCCTTCTCGCCTCTCACCATGCCATGCCATGCTACCAGTGAGCCTTCTTCGCATTCTGTATGGCAACAGTGTGTTTGTACGTTCACCGCCCTCAACAGTGTGTTTGTACGTTCACCGCCCTCTCTGCACCTCTCTGTACTTCCCCTCCTGTGTCTCTCCATGTATTTCCATTCTCCTTTACTTGCATCTCTCCGCCTTTTCCTCCCTCATTTCACTCGTCCCCCGCCCTTCCCTGTAGACCCTACCCCATTCGCCCTTGTTCCCTGCGGCCTTCCCACCCTTCCCCACCCGCCCTTCCTCACACCCCTTCCCCATGCACCCTTATCCGTGCACCCATCCCCCCTCTACCTCCCCCAAGGTGCGGGGGGCGGACAGCAACAGCCTGGCCATGACGTGCCAATCGCAGCGCGACATCTGGCTGCACCAGATGCTGCCTCCCCGCGCCTGCCAGGGCCGGCGCCTGCTGCTCGTGCCGTGGAGCACCGGCATGTACCATGGCGTGGGGTCGCAGGTGAGTCAATTCCAGTCAGTTCATGGCGTGGGGTCGCAGGTGAGTCAACGCCAGTCAACGCCAGTTCATGGCGTGGGGTCGCAGGTGAGTCAACGCCAGTTCATGGCGTGGGGTCGCAGGTGAGTCAATGCCAGTCAGTTCATGGCGTGGGGTCGCAGGTGAGTCAATGCCAGTCAACGCCAGTCCATGGCGTGGGGTCGCAGGTGAGTCAATGCCAGTCAACGCCAGTCCATGGCGTGGGGTCGCAGGTGAGTCAATGCCAGTCAACGCCAGTCCATGGCGTGAGGTCGCAGGTGAGTCAATGCCAGTCAACGCCAGTCCATGGCGTGGGGTCGCAGGTGAGTCAACGCCAGTCAACGCCAGTCCATGGCGTGGGGTCCCAGGTGAGTCAACGCCAGTCCACGTACCATTGCCCGTCTCCGTCTCCTCCCATCCCATCCCACCAGCAGCTAGTCGCCCCACCTGATTTGATTCATGCCGCACAACCACACTCTCGTCTCATCATCGTCCTTGCCCCCTCTCTCTCTCTTGCCCCCTCTCTCCCTCTTGCCCCCTCTCTCCCTCTTGCCCCCTCTCTCCCTCTTGCCCCCTCTCTCCCTCTTGCCCCCTCTCTCCCTCTTGCCCCCTCTCTCCCTCTTGCCCCCTCTCTCCCTCTTGCCCCCTCTCTCCCTCTTGCCCCCTCTCTCCGTCTTGCGCGCGTCCCATCTCTCCTCCCTCCCCTCCGCCCTCCCCCCCTGCTTGCAGGTGCATCTGATGGGTGCATTCCTGGGGCTGGCAATGCTGCACAACCGCACGCTCGTCCCGCTCGCCAACTCCTTTGACCGCGCCAACCACCCGCACTGCCAAGGTCGCTTCACCTGCACCGTGTGCCGCTGCTCTCAACGGGCCCTTACTTTCCAAAGAACACATCTCGTCCTTCGCTTTCCAACATCTCCCGGGGTGTTCGGCCAACATTCGTGCTCTCACAGCTGCCGATTGCCCTCCTCCTTGCTCTCACAGCTGCCCATTGCCCTCCTCCTTGCTCTCACAGCTGCCCATTGCCCTCCTCCTTGCTCTCACAGCTGCCCATTGCCCTCCTCCTTGCTCTCACAGCTGCCCATTGCCCTCCTCCTTGCTCTGTCCCTTTCCTATTGCCTTGTTCACTAACCCTCTCCATCACCCGTCTCTCACGCGCACGGCAACCTGAAGGACATGCAAGAGGAGATTGGATGATCATTAGACAGGAGGTGTTGAGGATAGTGGCCACTCGGATCGGAGGGGAAGGCGGTGTTGCGTCTCAAGGGTCGAAGTGCACTTCAACCTTTCAACCCCACGTATCCCTTGTGCTCAGGGTGGAGTGCGGATGGAGTGAGAGTTGTCTCTCACGGAGCCGGTTTCCTGACACCTATGACATGAGAAGCGGCAAGAGCGAGAGGCACATGGTACCAACTACGTACAGCACCGCAGCTGCTCGCAAGGCCCTCTGATGGATCACAAGAGCATGGCTTTCCCATGCCTCTGCTGAATATGGCAACTAGTTCGATTGCTCTCAACACTCTCCTCCCTCCCCTGCTCTCCCTTTTCTCTCTGCCCTCCGTTCTATCCTCCCCTGTTCCTCTCTTTGCCCTACCGCCTGCTGTGCAGCCACGGGGCAGCAGGGCGCGTGGGAGTGTTTCTTCTTCCCCATGGTGTCCCCCGACTGCGAGGCGGAGCTCAACCGCCTGCGAGCACGGGATGCCATCGGGGACTGCGTCACGGGGGAGGAGCTCGGGTATGATAGGGCCGCGCAGTCGGAGAAACAGGTGCGTGCGTGGGGCCGGTGGGGGTGGTAGGCAGATTGGCAGAGAGGAGGAGAGGAGATGCCTTTCGGGAGTGTGTCACGGGGGAGGGGCACGGGTACGATAGAGCCGCACAGTCAGAGCAACAGGTGCGTGTGGGCAAGTGGCTAGAAATGGTGTTGCCATGCGCAGTAGGCTGCTCGGTGCTGGTTTGTGTGCCCCGAGGGAGGAGCTGCTGCATAGGGGAGCAGTGCAGTGCAGTGCAGTGCAGTGCAGCACAGCACAGCAGCAGGTGAGACGCCTGCTGTCCCGTCCCAAGAGCGCTTTCACGAATGCCATCACGGATGCGACACTCGTGCCATCTAGCTCCGTGTGTCACCGGGACATGCTTATCCGCCTCTCCCTTTCAGCTTTTCCCCGCCACCTCCCCCCTTCCGCCTCCCCCCTTTCCCCATCCGCCTTCCACCCACCGCCTTCCCCCCTCCGCCTCCCCCTTTCCGCCCCCCGCCCTCCTCCACCCCTCGGCTCCCATGGCACGTGCCATGGAGCGTGAGGCGGTGTGACAGTGACTGCACCCACCACGGCCGGCATCCTCACCAACCACGCCCGCGCACTACACAACCCCTGCTTCACAACCCCTGCTTCACAACCCCTGCTACACAACCCCTGCTTCACAACCCCTGCTTCACAACCCCTGCTTCACAACCTCTGCTACACAACCCCTGCTTCACAACCCCTGCTGCACAACCCCTGCTTCACAACCCCTGCTTCACAACCCCTGCTTCACAACCCCTCACGCGTGTTGTGGAACGTGAAACCACTTGGAGAGCACCTGACATGTGTGAGTGTGACCCCGTCAGGTGGTGTGCCTCAACCCCGCCACGGGCGTCGTCATGCCATGCAACAGGGAGGTGCTAATCTCCCCCCACCTTCTGCCTCGAACCCTCTGCCTCCCCTCCTCCACCTCCCCCTCTGCCTCGTCCCTTCCACCTCCCCCTGTGTGTGCTCACCAGGCGGTGTGTGGGGATCCCACCACGGACGGCGTCATCAATTACGAGGGCCGTGCCGCACAGCACCCTTGCTAGCACCCCTCAGGCTTCTTCTGGCCACCTGAAGATTCACCTGGCATGTGTGTGTTCCCCCACCAGGCAGTGTGCCTCGACCCCACCACGGACGTGTTCATGAGCTACGAGGGCCGGGCAGCATCGCTGTGGGGCGATGCGTACCTGGCGGACGCGGACGTGGTGGAGCATGGCGGCCACGTGGCCTCCACCAGCGCCGACACCAAGATGGTGAGACGGGACACGTGGGGCAGGCACGGCAGGTGGGCACAGGTGGGCACAGGTGGGCACAGGTGGGCACAGGTGGGCGCAGGTGGGCACAGGTGGGCACAGGTGGGCACAGGTGGGCACAGGTGGGCACAGGTGGGCACAGGTGGGCACAGGTGGGCACAGGTGGGCACAGGTGGGCACAGGTGGGCACAGGTGGGCACAGGTGGGCACAGGTGGGCACAGGTGGGCACAGGTGGGCACAGGTGGGCACAGGTGGGCACAGGTGGGCACAGGTGGGCACAGGTGGGCACAGGTGGGCACAGGCGGTCTTGAAACAGAAACAGGTGGCCTGCGGAAGGGAAGCAGTAGTCACAGGCACAGCTTTGTCCCCCAAGTGCCTTGCCCTTGGTACTCGGGCTGTAGTGAGGTGTGACACATATAGCTAGCCATGGTCTCTGGTGTGAGGAGCAGGCGGTATGGCTTGGTACTTGTCCTGGATTCCAACCATTCTACTGCTGCTCCACCAGTCTCACCAGCCAGTATGCCTTTGTTCTTCCCTGACTCGTTCATTCTTCTCCTCCACTCCTTCCTCCGCCCCTCTTTCCCCCAACACTCCACTTCCCCCCCATTTCACTGGTGGTGGGCACAGCACCTTTGCACTTTTCTGATTCGTTCTTTTGTTTCCGCCCCTCCCCACCCCCACCCCTCCCCCCGCCACCATCAGTAAAGGTGCACTGGTGGTGGGTGCACACTGCATGTCTCACTGCCTTGCATTTTCTTCTGCCCCTCCCTTTCCCCGTCCCGTCAGGTGCACTGGCCGCGGGCGTAGGATACCCCTTTGCGTTTGCATTATTCTCATTCTGTTCCCCCTCCTTTTTCCCTTTTCAGGTGCACTGGTGGCGGGCGCAGGCGGTGCGCTTCATGCTGAGGTGGCCATCAGCCCATCTCTGCCACGTCATCAACCAACAGAGACACACCGCCTATGGCATGCACGTGGCCAATCGCATCGCTTCTTTCCACTCCTCCTCTCACTCCACCAACCCCCCATCCTCACCCCCCTCCTCTCATCTCTCTTCACTCCATGCCTTCTCACTCGCTCTCCAACACTACGAGTCGTGCGTTAGTGATGCTTCACCTGCTGCTGCTGCCACTGCATCTGCCGCTTCGGCTTCTCCTAACACTCCTGTGGATCCCCCAGCTACCGCCAGCACCTCTTGGCACCGCATGTCACTGCCCAGCACACCCACAGACCTAGTCAGAGAGCCGTACATGCAGCGGCCGATAGTGAGCATGCACGTGAGGCAGAGCGACAAGCTGTCGGAGATGCGGGTGCTGTCGCTGCCCGCCCACATGTTCCTCGCCTACCGCCTGCGCCGCGCACTCGTGGACCTCCGACACGTGTGGCTCAACACTGAAGCTCAGGTGGGTGGGGCATGCACAGGGCTATTCTGTGGACATGCATACGTGTGGCATAGATGCTGAGGTGACGCATGCGCGTCGCAACCCAGCACAGAAATACAGCAAGTGCGTTTACACAGCTTAGCACATAGGCTCCAGTCCAGTGAGTGGGGTGACACTTGTTTAGCCACCAACTCATATGCACATTTCCCTGTGAACCACAACACATCGCGCTGCATCTGAGGTGCGTGTGGTTTGACACTAACGCTGCTGGTGGCACCAGTATGAGTTGATGGTGAGGCCAAGGCACGGGACAAGGGGTCACTCCTGTGTCTTGGGTGTCAACTCATTGTGGCGTTCCTCCTACTCGTGTGGCTTGAGTGGCTCGTTACAGCGTGTCAGGTGAGAGTGGGCGAGTGTGCCATGTGCTCCTTCACCCTTGGTACAGAATCTTTCAGGGGCGTTTCTATATCCACACGGTTGGAACATGTACCATGTGTCACCTCAGCATGCACACGTCATGCCTTGCACACACAACAACACATGATCATGCGGTGTGGTGACGTCCCCTCCCTCCACCCCTCTCCCACCCATGGCACAGTCGGTGATCAACGAGACGGCGCACTACCCCGACTGGCACTTCCTCTTCGCCACCAACGCCCGCCAGCCGTCCCACTCGGAGCGCAACCGCGAGTATGACGCCGCACAGTCCGTGGCTGCCAGCTTGGCGAGCGCCCTCATAGCAGCGCAGTGCGATGGGTTCATCGGGTCGCTGGGTTCCAACTGGAGCCGCCTCATCAACGAGCTCCGAGCCACCAATGGGCGGCTGTACAGCGGCTTGGTGGCCATGAACCTGGGCGAGTGGTGACATGTCATAGTGTTGTTAAATTACATAGAGATGTACATTAAGGGAGGTAACAGGATGGTACATCCCATGTTTTTTCCAGAAGCTATCCAATCTGAAAGCTTCCATCCCAAAACAGGAATGGGTAGGTGGTTCGAACCTAAGAGTATGGCCTGTACAGTGCATAGGAAGGTCAGCCGGACATCCTGCTTGCATGGATGACAGGGGGATGGTCAGTCCCCTCAAGCTTGCTGCTGTGCCTCACCACGGGCAGCCCACTCTCCTCCCAGGCAATGATGCCGCCCTTGAGATCCACGAGCCTTGTGAACCCCTGCAATGCGCACAGCAGCGCAAGCAAACCCGAGCGGTTATACCACGGAGCAAGGATCGCATGCACTAGAGGGCATGCTTCTGCGTACGAGAATGGCACATTTTTCCTTGGTGGCTCACCTGGGCAGTCATCTCCCACGCTGCCAGGTTGGACCTCCTGCCGCTGCGACAGGCCTGAAGGGGAGGGGCGTGTCGGAACAAAGGGATTACAGATGGTGAGCTTGAGCGGGTAGATGTACCAAGTGCTGTTGAGGAAAAGGTGCAACACGTGATAGGGAGGTGGGAGATGAGAGATGAGATGCTTCACGGAATGCGAGGGAAGGCGGGTGAGGAAGTGTACCACGATGAGGGGCGTGTCGAGGGCGTATTTAGACTTCACTTGCTGGAAGTAGTCGGGATTAGGCTGCTGCGAACCTGCAGAGGCAAGAAGTAATTTGAGTTGGGTGCAGCGGTGCATGATGGAAGCTGCATGTCACGACACGCATCAGACCATGAATGACGACGTAGAATCACTAAAATAGCGGCGCATTTAAGGGTGGGAAGGCGAAACGGCTGTTGGAAGAAAAAAAAAGAGGAGAGAGAAATGTCACCGGGACGCTGTTGGGGGACGGGACGTACCGTCGGGCGCGGTGATGAAGTAGGGGATGAGGTCGGAGCCCGGCACGTGCACCTGCGCGAATTCCTCTGCCGTTCTGCGCCACGCAATGCACGCACCACGTCGCATGGGATGGCATATGGAGGAAAGGGCCCGAACGGAACTCTTATCATGCTACGGAGACGAGAGTTGCGACGCACGAAACTAAAGAGAGCCTTTAGCCCGTCATGTGCACTGCGCGTTTGAAACGCCTTGCAACGCCGTTCGAAATTCCCAGGCGACTCTTCACCTGACGTCAAGGTAGACGTAGCCTTGCTGCTCCACGAGCCGATGGACCTCCAGCGGCGGCAGCACGGGGAATGGCGGCTGCGCCATTATCGCGGCTGCTTGTAAATCGCGGTACTGCGACACGGTGGAGAGCGCGACGAGCAGCAAGGCCGACGCCGCAAACACGCGACCAAGCGACGCTGGTAGCACCCTGAGAGATGTCGATAGCAGATTGACCGGCGCTGGTTGCTGTGTTGTGGAGCATGCGAGGTCAGGCTGAGGGGCGCTGCAGAGGAATGAGAGGTTTGAGCTGTCCGTGGTGCTTGAGCATTCAACATGCGTCGTCGGCGCTGAAAACGTCATTTCTGCGTTTCAGAGGAAGGCGAACGGCGAACACCGGGGGCAAACAGATATTGCAGTAAGTGACTGACGGGAGCTTTGAAATGCTGCCGCCACGGCGGCGAAAAAACAGCACCTGCGCGTTCTGTGGGAAATGCTAAGGTATTAGTGTCAAACCAACGAGGACCATTCAGCCACTCTGAATGCCAACCGAGCGAGGGGGCCGCGTTGCATGGTTGCGTAGCAATCCAGCTTGCGTGGTTGGATGTGCAAGGTTCAATGGAAGTGGATGCTGGGGGGTTGGATCTGGTGGGCCTGGGGACGCTCAGCAGGACGAAATGTTAGACCAAGTGCAATGCAAAAAAAATGCGGTCCAGAGGGGACAGTGCACCAATGGAGGACGGAGCTGGCGAATGCCAAACAAATGCAAAAAAAAAATGGTGCGCATCGAGACGAGGCGCGCGGCTTCAAGCATAAGGGGGTGTTACATTGCGCGCTGGTCCATTTACAAGGAAATGGACCAGCGAATGCAAGGGGGCACCATTTTAGAGGGATCACTTCCAAAAGTGGTCCCGCTTGGTACCGGGAATCATTTGCGGCGGACCAGCTATGCACAGTGCATTGCAACTTCTAAAACGAAGTGTTGACGAAAACAAAAGTTTACCTGGTCACGCTTGAACAAGATGTCGCAGACAGCAGATCCTTTTGGCGAAAAAAATCAAAACGCGATTTTCGCATGCGATTCCCATCGCCTTGGGTCGCTCTGGAAATGGTCCTGCGTGTCGAGCATCGTTTTCGTACGTGCGCCTCGAACTGTGTTGGGCTGAAAAACCCTTAGGATCTTTGCAGGGGTGAACTCTGGGTAGAGTTGGTGTAGTAGCGGAAGCGTTAATTTGTGAACCACCTTGCGCTAGTATGTGAGGGCAAAGTAAGTTGATTAAAACAGGTGGATACAGGTTTATATATGAGTACAAGGAATACGAAGAGATGCAGTTATAACTGTATTGCTGTTGTGGTTTGATACAGTGACGACTCGGGCAACTGCTCTGTAGCGAGTCAGTTGTGTGTCCTTGCTGTCGGGCTGTATTTGTCAGGTCAAAGGTCGCTGACCTTCGCGTAACCTCCAACAAGTACTTTCAACCTCCGAGGGTTGACTCGCCGGTGATTCGTTATACTTCGTTTCTTTTGTGTCTTAGTGTTTCGACACGACAGAGGCGCTTAGGACCGATTGTTTCCAACACTCCCCTTCACTTCTGGAGTGTCGCTGACGTGGCTCTGTCCAGTCAGCAGCATGCAGTATTCGAACTTCTGCTTTCCGAGCTTCTTGGTCAGGTAGTCAGCTGCCATCTCGGACGTGGGGCAGTATGACAGCTCGAGCCTTCCCTTCTCGATCTCGTCCTTCACGAAGAAATATCGCAAGGCGATGTGTTTTGTCCTGTTCGCGAAGCCGTTCTTGTTGGCGATGCGAATTGCCGACTGGTTGTCGCAAAACAGGGTAAAGTTGGGTAACTCGGCTAACTTCGCTTCTTCCAGCAGCTCGCGAAGATAGAGTCCTTCCTTGGTGGCTGTGTCAGAACATTATAGCTTATGCTTTTGTGTAGGCTGTAGTGGGGTATCCCATAGGGGGTACAACCCAATTAGGGTTAGTACTTGTACCCACTTCATTGATAGTTCATTCATTCTCGTTCACACTTTCTCATGGTATCGAGCAGGTTCCCTCGAAGGAACTGTTCCTAGGGCCCACCGATCCTCTTTTTTTTTCCTGCCCGGGGCGCGTCCTGCCCCTGCCCGAAGCACGCCTAGGGTCGCGCCCTTCTTAGCGGCCCGTCGCGTCGCCCTTAGCGGCCCGTCGCGTCGCCCTTAGCGGCCCGTCGCGCCGCCCTTACGGCCGCGTCGCGCAGCCCTAACGGCCGCGTCGCGCCGCCCTTTCACAAGCGGCCCGTCGCCGCCCTTCTCACGGCTCCGCCGTCCCGTTACACAGCCCTGCCGCCCTCTCCTGCGGCCCGCCGCCCTCAACTGCGGCCCCGCCGCCCTCAACTACGACCCCGCCGCCCTCAACTGCTGCGGCCCCGCCGCCCTCACCTGCTGCGGCCCCGCCGCCCTCAACTGCGGCGGCCCCGCCGCCCTCAACAACTGCGGCCCCGCCGCCCTTCTCTGCGGCCCCGCCGCCCTTCTCTGCGGCCCCGCTGCCCTCTGCTGCGGCCCCGCCGCTCTTACCTGCGGCCCCGCCGCCCTCTCCTGCGGCCCGCCGCCCTCAACTGCGGCCCCGCCGCCCTCAACTGCGACCCCGCTGCCCTCAACTGCTGCGGCCCCGCCGCCCTCACCTGCTGCGGCCCCGCCGCCCTCACCTGCGGCCCCGCCGCCCTTCTCTGCGGCCCCGCCACCCTTCTCTGCGGCCCCGCCGCCCTCTGCTACGGCCCCGCCGCTCTTACCTGCGGCCCCGCCGCTCTCATATGCGGCCCCGTCACCTACTGCAGCGCCGCCCGCCACCCGGGTTTCCCGACCCGCCCCACCCAGCCGAGCAGCCGACCGCCGCGCCGCCCTGCAGCAGCACCACCGAGCCGCCCGGGCAACCGAGCAGCTGGACAGCCGGCCGCCGAGCCGCCCAGCAGCCGAGCAGCCGAGCCACCCTGCAGCCGAGCCGCCCAGCAGCCGAGCCGCCCTGCAGCCGAGCCGCCCAGCAGTCGAGCCGCCGGACCGCCGAGCCGCACTACAGCCGAGCCGCCCAGCCGCCCAGTAGCCGAGCGGCCGATCTGCCGAGCCGCCCTACTACCAAGCCACCCGAGCTGCCCTGTCCGGTGAGCACAGTGCCTCTTTTGCTGCACTGCCCTCACTCTACTGTTGCACTGCTAGTCTACTGTGGTCATGGCTACCCCTAGTGTCCTCGCTTTTTACGCTGAGGGTCGAGCCATTGACTTTGACGTCTGGGTAGATGACCAGCAGCTGTTCTTACAGTGCGATAGGGCAGACGGTCTCTCTCACTTTGACCTCACCTCTGGCGCCTCTCGTGCCCCTACTGCTGATGCTGACGCCACTGTTCGCTCCCAGTGGGCCACGCGTGACGCTGCTGAACGTCTTGCTGTGCGTCGCCACCTCCCTACCTCCGAGCGTGCGCACTTTAGTCAGTACAAGAGTGCTCAGACCTTGTACGACGCTGTAGTTGCGCGCTACTCCTCCCCTGCCACTACTGCACTGAGCCGTCTCATGCTACCGTACCTCTTCCCTGACCTTGCTGCCTTTCCCACAGTCGCTGACCTCATTACGCACCTCCGCACTAGTGACACTCGCTACCGTGCTGCGCTTCCTGCTGACTCCTGCGCCAAACCCCCCCCCCCCCCCCCCCCCCCCCCCATATACATCATGCTCTACTACATAGTCACTCGCCTCCCTGACTCCCTTTGCGTAGTCAGGGACCACTTCCTCTCAGTCTGTCCCACCACTCTCACTGTTGACCTCCTCGAGAAGTCCCTCCTAGCGGCCGAGAAGAGCATAGTCGCTGTAGGGGCCTCTCGTGGTGACCCGCGCACCCCCATCTTTGAGGGGTGCTCCCCCTCCCCCCTTCTGCCCTCTGTTGCCTATGCTGCTACGGCCGACCTCCTTGGTCTTGAGTCGGTCGTCGCGGCGTCCGCCCCTAGCGGGAGACGCCGCTCTGGCAAGGGCAAGGGGGGCAAAGGCGTTGGAGGAGCGAGCGGGAGCGGTGGAGGTGGAGGCGGCGGGGGGAGTGGGGGTGGCGGTGGAAGTGGAGGTGGGGGAGGAGGTGTCGGTGGCAGCGGTGGAGGCGGAGGCGGCGGCGGCGGTGGTGGTGGGAGCGGAGGTGGCGGAGGAGGTGGCGGTGGAGGCGGCGGCAGAGGCGGCAGTGGTAGCGGAGGCGGCGGAGGCGGCGGAGGTGGCGGTGGAGCCGGTCGCGGGTCTACACAGAGGAGTGGTTCCGGTGGTTGCCCGCGCCAGCAGCAGCAGCGCGGTCGTGATACCCTGTCCCCTCAGCAGCTCCGTGAGTGGTACACTACACGCCAGCGGGGTGGGGGTTTTGGTCCATGCACCTACGTCCTGCGCACCGGCGACCGTGCGGGTGAGCAGTGTGGGGGTGCGCACCCCACCCAGCGCTGCTTTGGCCGCCCGACGGACGCGTGGCGTCGCCAGTTCCCGGAGGCCACAGAGATCCCTCGCTGGGGCGAGCTGTCTAGGGCGGGAGTTGCTTTCTATGATCTGGATTTTGATGCTATTCTTTCTGCCATGTATGCTGTGTCTATTAGTGATGAGGGTGACTATTACCGGTGTTTCCCGCCCGATCCGGGCATTGGGACTTCTGCTCTAGAAACTGGTGAGGTTGCTGCCCTAGGTGCTTGTGACGCTGCTGCTCTAGGTGCTAGTGCATCTGCGTCCTCAGGTACTGGTGAGTCTGCGCTCTCAGGTACTGCGTCGGCTTCGGCCTCCCTCACCTTCACCCTTGACTCTGGGGCTTCTCGCTCCTTCTTTCGGGACCGCACCACACTCACGCCGCTTAGTCGGCCGGTTGCGGTGTCTCTGGCTGACCCCTCTAGGGGTCCTGTCCTGTCTCACTTCTCCACAGTCCTCCCGTGTCCGGCGGCTCCCTCTGGCACCCTGTCTGGTCTCTACCTCCCCTAGTTCTCTACGAACCTGGTGAGTGGTGCTGACCTATAGGATGGGGGAGTACACCAGTTCACTCCTGCGCGTCAGCAGGTGACGCACTGCACAGAGGCTAGCACAGGCCGACACTTGGCTACGTTTACCCGTCAGCCGGGGTCGAGCCTGTACACACTGACCACTGCGTCTCCTCAAGTTGCTGAGTCTGGTAGGGTAGCTGCGTCGGGTCAGGTGTTTGCTACAGCGTCCAGGTCTGGTCCTGAGTCTGCCCCCTGTTCGTGTCGTCTCCTGTCTCACAAGACTCTCCTCTGGCACCACCGCCTTGGTCACCCCTCTCTGCTTCGGCTCAGAGGCATGGCCTCCCGTCTTCTTGTTTCTGGTCTCCCCCGGTCCCTCCCTCCCCTTCCTTAGGGCCCTGG